TCCTGTCTGCTCTGCTGGATGTACTTCATCATAGAGCCCCTCCTGGTGTGTCAAGCCTGCTAAGAAATGTCCATTAATCCAGCTAGGATACCTGCCTTCTGTTTAAATGTATATATGTCATTATTTACATGTGTATTCGTGGTATGTGTATGTGAGGATTTATACATGTATGTACAGTGTGTGACTATGTATGTGTGATGCAGGTACATGTGGATAGGTGTCCTAGGTTTACACATCTGAGTACATATATGAATGCATGCTCTGCTTGCATGTATATCCACATAGATTGCTTTATGTTGCATGATGTTGTGCTTACACCATGTGGGGTATGTGCCATGTGCTTATGTTTGTGTTCATGTATTCTATATGCACACCCGTGTTTGCACACAGGTATGTTTGTGAGGATGTGTATGTCATGTGGTCTGGACAGGTACTCTGTTCCCTCCCATATCCTAAGGCCAGTAGGACCTGGTCACTCCCTTCCTGGTCTGTGCACATCTGTGTATGTTGTCTTGCTGTGTATGGGCTTTCCCCAGTGACAGAAGACTATCCCTCATCCCACTTCTCACAAAGTGTTCACGGGTGGAGGAGGCTCAGGAGCCCCATGTGTGTTGCAGGAAGGTGGCCTTGATACAAGATAGGATGGGACCTGTACTCAGACCCGGCTTCCTTTAGCCCACCAACCGTTTTCTGCTCCCAAATCCCACCCATTCTTGGTATGGCCTGCAGACAGGCAGGCTAGGGCTGGCTGCTGGTGCTGCCACCCTCCCCTAGCCAGTCCATATCGAGTGCACCCAGGGCTCTGCCCTGGGTGAGGTATATGTTGACCTTTGATCTTGCTGTCCTCCTCCTAGCTGGAGGCTTCCTCTTCCTACACAATCCAGTCCTTTTCTTGGCCTGTTAGGCAGGCAGAGACTGTGTGAGCGGGACTGTGGCTCACTAACATGCACACCCACCCTCTCTGAGCTGCTTATCGGGACAGGTTTGTGCATGCAGGGAAACTTTTCATGGCCATGTTTGAATCTATCCCTTGCATCCCTCAGTGGCTGAAGGCAGAGAGAGAGGAAGAAGGAGGGAGAGGGAGAGAGAGAGAGAGAGAGAGAGAGAGAGAGAGAGAGAGAGAGACAGAGACAGAGACAGAGACAGAGAGAGACAGAGACTTCAACTTGTTGAGAGAAAATTCTCAGGCATTGCAAACAGGAGTTTAGGGGCTGAGGTGTGGGTGTGGATCCCCAGGCAGCTGATTTGAGGCTTTCAGGCTTATATTTGTTGGCGACTGAGATGGTTTCCATACCATCTTTTGCTGTCACCAGAAATGACACATCAGGGCTGGGAGAAGCAGCTGCTGGTGACTTTGCACAAATAATGAACAGCCAGGGACAGATGTGTGACACAAGCCAACTCTGTTTGCCCACCAGCCACCTGTGCTGTGATTAGTGGGAGCCCAGGAGAGTGGCTTGGGCCCGACCGCCTGGCTCTTTGGAATGTCTTCAGCCTGGGAATACCCATGGCCTGGGAGGGGCGGTCTCAGCCTGGGGGCAGCCATTGTTCTTGAAGCTATTGCCCAGGAAGCCAAAAGGTTTTCTCCCAGATCCTTGAAGGAACAGCTGCCTGCACGGTCTCTTCTTCACGGGGACTCCATAACTGACTTCAGATAAGCGTGGGACAAACCTCACTCCATCAGTTTAGGCTTCTATAGCAGAATGCCTCAGACAGGTGGCCTAGTGGCTTAACATTAACTCTGGGGAGGACAAGTTCAAGGCCACAGTGCTGGCAGGGCCAGTTTCTGGCTCGCAGATGTCTGAATCCTTCTTGCTGTGTCCTCACAGGTGGTGTGTTGTGAAGCGGGGAAAGGGGAGGGTGTATCTTTGGGTCCCTCATAAGACCACTAATCCTTTCAGATCAAAACTCATACTTGTGGCCTAGCTTGAATTCAAGAATTACTTTCTTAAGGTCCTATCTCTAAATATGTGGGTCAGGAGTGTAAATGGAGGTGGAGTTTTTTCTGTCCCGGCCACTCAGTCCCAAACAAACACACAAAAGCTTACATAATTACAGAATGCTTGGCTGATGGCTCAGACTTCTTACTAACTAGCTCTTACATTTAAATTAATCCATTTCTATTAATCTATGTATTGCTACGTGGCCCGTGGCTTTACCGGTCCTCTAGCATCTTGCTTCTTGGGTGGCACCCTGGCATCTCTCTCTACTCTACCCTTTTTCATCTTAGTCTGCAGTTTGATTGTTCTGCCTAACCTTATCCTGCCTTGCCATAGGCCAAACAGCTTTATTACCAGCCAATGAGAGTGATACATATTCACAGCGTACAGAAGGATCATCCCACAGCACAGGGGCTTCAGCATGCAATTACAGTGTGTCTCTAACAGTAACGTGAAAAGAGCTGGCCTACGATCCTGACTGATGCACAGTCCACTTTGCTGGCAACTGATATGAAGACCCTGGGATGGGATAAGGCAAACAACTGTATCGCACGTACAAAGATCCTGTCTGCTCTGCTGGATGTACTTCATCATAGAGCCCCTTCTGGTGTGTCAAGCCTGCTAGGAAATGGCCATCAATCCAGCTAGGATACCTGCCTTCATATCTTCCAAACCTATCCCAGGCCCTCCAGACCCACCCTCCTTGTAGTGACCCCGGGGCCCAGCCTTTACTGTGTGAGCTCTATCCTGTGTCTTTGCCACCCATTGCCTACACTTGTACAGAAACATCACTGCCTCCAGAGCCAGTTCTCTGGTCCTATGCAAACGGTAACTGTAGGATTGCTTGTTAAAAATCAAGATGTCAAGGAATGGGGAGCAGAGCATTGCCGGTTGTACCTTCCTCTGCCGGGTCATGGGCACATACTGTCTCAAGGCAGTGAAGCCCGCGGATCACCCAGCCGAAGGACTGTGTCTCAGCACACTCCACCCAAGCTCATATGTCCTTGCAGAGCTGTTTACTTGCCAGCTGTCACCCCTCACTGGGAGAAATTGTAGTGTACATTTTCTGTGGAATTGTACTTCTAGTTTAAGCAAATCTGAAGTCCTCTTGCTTCAATATTTCTTTTAATAGTGAAGTGGAAAAGAAAGCTTAGAAAAAGGGAGGAAGCCTAGGAGTTGGAAAGGTTGTGGTATGGGACCAGAGATGGAGCTGAGTTGGGTGAAGGCTGTAGTCCCCTCTTTCCTGGGATGGAAAGGTCTCTGTAGCTGTGTCTTGTGAAGGTGACAGAGAGGGACTCTCTAACAGAGTTGGCCAATCCTGAGGCTCAACCACCAGCTCTTTGCACCTGCTGGGCTATGGGGCCAATCAGAGTGTGGCAGTGCTTCAGAAAGGAGCACAAATAAAAAAATTGGTGGTTCTCCATGTGCACATCCTAGATGTCCAAAGGAAATGAATTCAAGCCCATACTTGAGGCAGTGACCTCTGCATGGGTAAGCAGTTAGTCCATGCTAGACCCTTCCTGTATGGGGAAAGGTGTATCACACATGGAGGTCACAGAACATGCATGTAACAAAGGTATAGCCCTATTCTGGTCTTTTGCCACCTCAATCCCAGAGGTTTTGTGGTTGTTGTTTTTTTGTTTGTTGTTTTTGTTGTTTGTTTGTTTGTTTATTTTTCATGAAAGATTTTAAGTGTCCTCCAGTCTCTGATGTTGGGGTTAAAGTTGGGTGTGGAATCCTGCATAACTGAGTCTTCCAACAGTGCCCACGGGTGCTAGTGTCTAACTTGGCCACCTGTGTTTATCATTCCCTCACTGCTGTGATGAAATACCTAGGAGAAATAGTATGAAGAGTTGATTTCAGCTCTTGGTTTCAGGGGTCTTAGGCCACACTTGCATGGCTCACACCAGGAGGTAGACACAAAATGCTCATTCTAGGCTGGCTTTCTCCTTCTTTGCTCTGCTGGGTGGTGGTTGCTCAGCCCTAGATGGTGCTGCCCGTGTCCAGGGTAGGTCACCCCACTTTGCCTAACCCTTTCTGGAAAAGTTCTCACAGACACCCATGGGTGTGCTCCACCATCTCCTAGGTGATCCTAAGTCCCATCGCATTGAGCATGACTGACCTTCTCAAAGACTTAGCTTTTACTTGGACCATAAGCCTTGTTTATGGGTCTCTTGAGTGAAGCAACAATAGCAAGAATTGCCCCAGGAAGGAGGTTAGCAAGGTGAACGGGTCATAGAAGATTCTGGTAATAAGAATACTAACTCCATTATGGACCTCTTCCTCATAGGCTTCTCACAGCCTTCCTGTCTACCAGGCCTGACCACCAATCCTGGGTGGGTTTCCAAGGGAGGAGACGGGTGGTTTTCTTCTGTGTAGACTGTGACATCCTTGTTCTGATGAATACCGTAACCACCTCCTCACTTCCAGCTCTTCACTAGAACACTGCCCTGCAGACTCCAGGGCTCAAGACAGAGACTCAGGCCTGCCAGCCTCAGAGCCCTGAGTCAGGCCAGTGTCTGTAGATGAGAGGCGGTTGGGGGTCATGGTCTCTATAGAATTGCTGACTTCCTGCTGGGCAGGCCTCACTCCTGCCACTGCGTCCTCATCCCAGCCAAGCTGTCCCATGGATAACCACTTCGATAGACCTAAGACATGCCCTATCAGTTTCTGACAGAGCAAAGAGTGAGACTTTCACCCCTCAGGAAGGGGAATGACGCTGTTTTGAAGATGTTCTAACACCCACAGTGACTACTTGCTGTTGGAGGCTGATGATAGAATACCCAGGAGAGGCAGTATGTGGCCCGCCCCCATGCAGAATGTCTCTGAATGGCACGATACCTGCTCACTGGGCTACCCACCATGCCAGGCCCAGCTTTAGGGTACAGCCATTCCACTCAGTGAGGCCTGTGTGTTGGGAGCGGCACACTGACCAGCTCTCTCCTCTCTCCCACAGCACGAATTATCAAGACAAAGCAGTGGTGTGACATGCTCCCTTGCCTGGAGGGGGAAGGCTGCGACTTGTTAATCAACCGGTCAGGCTGGACTTGCACACAGCCCGGAGGGCGGATAAAGACCACCACGGTATGTGGCCCCTTTCCTTTCTCGTGGGCATGTTGGGGAGAAGTGAGCAGACACCACAGCCCATTGATGGATGTAGATTCTGTGGGATGGAGCAGGGACAGGTAGCAGCTGGTATCTCCAACCCGGTTATAGCATCTCCTCACCCTCTGGCATTAAGTCCCAGAGAGCCTGTGCCTAATCAGTTGGCCTTTGGGTGCCCAGGGACTGAGCCACAAACAGAACTACATAGATTGGTCCACTGGGCTGGTCATCTCAGAAGTGAAGCTAATACATTGCATATTGCTGGCACTGAGGCTGCTCGGCTTTGTAGGGGAGGTGTAGGGGTACATCAGTCACCTCAAAACCTGAGGGCAAGTTTCTGTGCCCTACCTGAGGCCAAGGGGGCCATCCAGATTCAGGCCAAGGGAGGGAGCTGCACATGGTTCTGCTGCTGCCCTAGATTTCATCTGGTGACTGCTAACAGACCCCGAGAGTTCCCAATACCCCACCTTCCTCATCCTATGGAGCAGGGCATACTGAGTCTTTCAGAGGCCATGGCTGTCTTGATCTCCAGAACCACTCTACCCACAGGTGGTTGAGTGCACAGGACTCTAGGATGTTCTTTGATTTTTTTTTTTTTCTTGTTGCCAATGCTTTGAAATTTCTGAGGTGTTATGGCTCCACACACGGCCCAGGCACTGCAGACAGTTATACTCTGTGATATGCAATTGAGAGGTGAAAAGTCCTTGGGCAAGACAGGCTAAGCCTCCTTGGGCTGGTGACTGTTCCCTTAGCACTGGCTTCTTTGAGAACATGCAGAGGCTGAAACAAGTCCAGGGTCAGTGCGGGAACCTGTTGGGCTGCTGAGTGGATGTAGACACAAGCACGCTGTGAAGAGCCTTAGGCTCTAAGGAGCCTGGAGAGATGCATGGAGGGGGGAACCACAGGTATAGGATGTTCTGTGTCTGCCTCTGCCCTGTGCTCAGCACAAGTGCAGGTTGACCCTTTGAGCTCCCAAGATCCCCCAGGCAGGGGCCACAGATAGGTGTGAGAGATGACAAATAGAGATGAGCCCCATTACCCATAACCATGCAGAGGTCTGCTGATGGCTTTCCCAATGCCACATAGTGGCCTCCTGTAGAAGGTCCAGCCTTCCCATCCACACCCCAGGCTTTCAGCCACTTGGATAAATGCTACAATGATGAAAACTGTCACCAAGAAAGGAGTCATATATTCATAGTCACCCATGATTCAAAGGAGAGTCATGACAAGGCCAGAGAGTCTTAACTCCCAAGCCTGTGTCCTTTTGGGGACCAGAGGTAGCCCTAGGCTTGGTTCCCTACTTGCTGGGATCACACTTGGAAGGGATGGGCAAGTAAGGGCAGTGTGTAATTGCAATTGGACACCACAGTGGACTGGGTGGGTGTGAGGGCCCCCTGAGCCAGCTTTACCTCTTCCAGAGACAAGAAAGGAGCTTGACCAGCTCTGCAGTCTAGTCTACGTAGTGTCCTTGAGTTCAAAAGGATGAGACCTGACTCCTATTGGAACCTCTAGCCTAAGGTGACATGTTTGTAAGTGTCTAAAATGTTGGTTTTCAAGCCAGATACTAAGAAACCACAATTTAAAGTCCCTACTATGCATTTATATCATGGCCTCTTATAGAGTAAATTAGTAGCATAGGTTTCACATGTTGCCATAAATTGTTTTTTCCAAGATGACAGTCTTGTCGCCCATTACCTCTAAGAGGCCTGGAGACCATGTAGTGGCTGTAATTCCTTTCCAGTGTCACTCATCCCAGATAGGGCCTTCGTTCAGCCAAGACCCCTCTCCACTCTGTACCCCGATTGTGCCAACTCCGCATCCAAACTCCACTGTGACACCCTAACCCTGGCACAGTGTCACTTGCTGATTATATCTCTGTGTGTGTCACCAGAATGGGAGCTGCTCAGGGGCAGGTCACTGGGCCTGGGGATCCCGTAGCCTGTCCCCTCATGGGGCCTCCTAAGTATGTGTGATAAATGGATCCATTGATTAGCCCCATGCAGACCCCCAGATACATGCTGATGTTCGCATTTCTGGAATCACTGCGTCTCAAAAGCGTGGGTCACCACCCCATTAGTGGGTCATGAAATTAATTTACTGGCTCATGATCAGCCTGTAAAAAGTGGACGAAAGGTCATAAAAATACTAGAGTGCCTCTTGGGTCACTGGGATGAGTGCCACTTAGAGCAGCATGGGCATAGTGGTGATGTGGGAGATGCGAGTGTCGCTGTGCAAAGTGGGAAGTCCATGGCCCTGACGACTCTGGAGACAAATGAGGCCCTGGGCTAGCTTTGTTAAGGGTTGCCTCTGAAGTTGCCCCTTAAACTTTGCTTTGTGAGCATGCATCAGCACTGAGCCAGGTGACTAGTGAACGCCGAAGGTTCTCCTTGGGCATGGAAGCAGCACCCTTTCTAGTACCCATCCATGATGCATCGTTTTTTAGAGATGGTGCAAGGGGTGGAATCCCCTTCCTCTGCTGCAGCCCCTGGGCTCTTGGTTTTCACTAGCCCTGACAGCAGGACTTACAGGGGACCTAAATGAAAAGGGCCAGAGGATCCCAGGTGGGGACTGCGGTCCCTCATAGCAGGCCAGGAATGGATCCCAGAGCAGATGTTGGCTGGCTACGGCTGCGCTGCGCACTGCACATGTTAGTGGCTTTCGCAGATATTCTAATCAGTGTTTACTCTGCGTTTCTGTGATGTTTATGAATTGCAAGATGCTCAACGGTGAGCCATACCGTTCCCTAAATCAGAATAAACCAGATGGACTGGAATCCAATTAGCTATTAAGCACCACATTTTAATTCTGTATGTTTGTGGGGGTGGGGGATGCTTAGGGAGGGCTTCCTGGGAGTCCTGCTTAGGAGTTAGCACTTACACGGAAATGTATACACCAGAGGACATAGACTCAGAGATGTCCAAGCGCCAGCTGCAGGAACACATGTGAGGGTGAATGTCTGACCTCTGCACCCAGTGTTTTGGGGGCCTCTATTACAGGCAGATGTAGAGTCCACTCAAGCAGCCACTCTGAGCGGCAGGTCCTCTCAGCTTACCTGACACTGCCTGCTGATTCGAGCTGGGTAGCCTGTGCCTGGACCCACTGGGGCATCTGGAAGTCAAGAGCACTGAGCGCAGTCACATCCCCGAAGAACACAACTGTGGCTGGTCCGCTTCTCAGCCATCCTAGCCTCATCTTCTGTCCAAGAGAGTTGGCCTGGAGCAGGGAGGGCCCTTCGGGTGCACAGCTGGCTGTTGAATGGACTCTACCCATTCCATTCAAAACTCTGCAACTACAGCTTCCTGCCAGCTTGGAAGTGGGAAACGGGTTGACCTCAAGAGCTTCTGCAGGTCGGGCTGGAACCTGGAGGTCTCCATCATGAAATTCTGAAGGCTGTGTGTGGTCTGATGGCCATACCAAAAAAAAAAAATCATAGAAAACTGGACTGGGCTCCTTCCAGGAATCAACATGGGTCCCTAAATGGCTAGCTGTGTGCCAAGCCACAAGTGTGCCTAGGTTCCCACCAGTGTTGGGTAATCACGACTTCACAGAAGAATGGAGCACCTCCAGGCACCCCCATATTGGGCCAACAAACCTCAAAGGGGCCTTTGTGGAAACTTACCAAATGCAAGTCTCAGCCCCCAGCTAAAAAGGACCAGATCCCTGTGCTGCCTACCAGCCTTCTGGAGACCCCTGTGAGGAGACAGGGATGTGACAGCATGTGTCTAGGAGGGGACTAGTGGTGGCTGTAGCAGAAGAGAAGGGCTGAAGAAGCTTCAGACTCCAGAGAGATAGCACATTGGTAAAGTGCTTGCCACAGAAGCATAAGGACCCAAGTTCTCCCCCAACCATCCATATAAAAAGCTGGATGCGGAGGCATGCATTTGTAATTTCCAGCCCAAGGAAGGCAGAGACAGTATTTTGGGTTTGACAGCCAGCCAGACTGGCTTGATCCAAGGTCCCAGTGTAAAGGGCATCTGAGGGGTGACACAGGGGCAATCCCTCTGCCCCAATGCACACTTGTATACACACACACACATACACACACACACACACACACACACACACACACACACACACACACACACACACAATTTGCAAAACTGGAAGGTGTGTGTTTCCCATGTGAGGCCACTTACCAAAGCCCAAGGGTGAATAGAGAGCTCCATCCTGGAACTCCAAATGAGATGTGATGTAGTGCGAGTTCGCCAATATCTGCCTCCAGGTGTTTATTATTAAGACCAACTAGAATTCTTGCTACAATATGAGGCCCTGGTAGATGGGGGAAACAATCTCAATTTCAGAAGGATGAAATCAGCCCCACACTGTCCTGTCTTGACACTGGTTAGATTTATTTGGTCTAAAGGGGAGTCTCAGTTGAGAGAAAGCCTTCCTAAATCTGTAGTGCATTTTCTTAATTAGTGATTGATGTGGGAGGGTCCGGCCCGTTGTAGGCTGTATGGCCCCTGGTCATATATATGGTCCTGAGCACTGTAAGAAAGCAGGCTGAGCAAGTCATGGGGAACAAGAAAGTAGTAGCATTCCTGCTCCATGACCTCTGCAGCAGTTCCTACCTGTGGCTTCCTGCCTTGAGTTCTTAGCCTGATTTCCTTCAACGATAGACTGTTTTCTGAAGTATATGGTGAAATAATTCCTTTCCCTTCCCAAGTTGCTTTTGGTCATGGTATTTATCACAACAATAGAAACCCTAACTAAGACATACAGGGAGGCACAAGAGGGGGTGGTGGCAGACCTCAGAATGCAATGTTGCCTGGGGGACTGCTCAAGCAGGGACTGGCATCCAGGTGCCCCCCCAGGCATCCAGGTGCCCCCCAGCTCAGGTGTTACAGGACACAGGTGCCGGAGACCAGATGTGGCTCTTGACCTCTAGTTCCCTAGCTGCTGGAATGATCTATCCTTGTGGAGGGAGAACAGGCCTTGCTCTGCACCCCTGCCCTCTCACAGCTAGAGATGAAGGAGTC